TAGCAAGACCCTGTCTCTACTAAAAATACAAAGAAATTAATTGGCCAACTAAAAATATATAGAAAAAATTAGCCAGGCATGGTGATGGTGGCACATGCTTGTAGTCCCAGCTACTCGGAGGCTAAGGCAGGAGGATTGCTTGAGCCCAGGAGTTCAAAGTTGCGTGAGCTAGGCTGAAACCACAGCACTCTAGCCTGGGTAACAGTGAGGCTCTGTCTCAAAAAAAAAAAAAAGAGAAGTGGAAGAGTAACTTTAGAGTGAAGAAACCTGACAAAAACTTCAGCCAGATGACCCAGGTTAACCTCAAAAGCGATATATTAAGCCAAGCACAGTGGCTTATGCTTGTAATCCTAACTCTGGGAGGGTGAAGGTAGGAGGGATTGCTTGAGCTCAGGAATTTGAGACCAGCCTCAGCAACAGTGAGACCCTGTCTCTACTAAAAATAGAAAAATTATCTGGGTATCCTAGCGAGTCCCTGTAGTCCCAGCTACTCAGGAGACTGAGGCAAGAGGATCGCTTGAGCTCAGGAGTTTGAGGTTGCAGTGAGCTACCATGGCCACTCTACCAGGGTGACAAAGCAAAACTCTCTCAAAAAAAAAAAAAAAAAGAAAATGGTATGTTGTATGTGTCCTCAAAATAATGTGATGAAAATGGCAATTTACCTATGTGGGCTTCCCCAAAAAACCCATAGCCCCAATCTAATCATGAGAAAAACAGTAGAAAAATCTCAATTGAGGGACATTCTCCAAAAACCTGACCAGTACTCCTCAAAGCTGTCAAGGTCATCAAAAACAAGGAAGCCTGAGAAAATGTCACAACCAAAAGGAGTCTAAGGAGAAATGATAATGAAATGTTAATATTGTGGTATCCTGGTTACGGTCTTGGTTCAGAAGGATATTATTAGGTAAAACTAAGGAAATCTGAATAAAGTATGGACTTTAGTATTTTGACAATGTACGATAATGTATGGGAATAGGGAAAACTGGGTGTGAGGTATATGAAAACTCTGTACTATCACAGCAATTTTTCCATAAATACAAAACTGTTCTAAAAACTTTATTTAAAAAGTCTATTTAAAAAAAATTATATAGTAAGGCAGAACAGACGTAACAGAAGGCTTAGATATGGTGTTTTTATGTTTATGAAAACATTTGTCTTTCACCATAACTGGTATTCTGCAGTCTCCCAAGGATCTGTTTGTCAAAGAAATAAATACTTTAATTCAAATTACTTACCCAAAGACTAAAAAACAAAACTTGGACACTTTTACTATAGGAAAAAAGATGTTTAGGGTTATGATATACTTATTTAATTATTTATTTTTTGATTAAACTGAATGCTTGGTTAAGTCTAAAAAGACTTAACAGTTCCCAATTGCTCTTTAAAATCAAATCCTAAGTCCTTATCACTAGTCTTACATAATCTGGCTCCTGCCTAACTTCTTTGACTTTATTTTAAACTACCTTTATCCCTATTTGCATTTACTTGAGCCATACCAGTCTTCTGTTTCTAAAAACCTATTAAGCCTTAGGGCCTTCAGATTTTGCCTTTGTCTGTCACGTTATGTACTCCTGGGTAGCAAAACTACCCCCAACACTTACAATCCCCATTTTATTCACTCAGGATTCTGAGAGTCAGCAATGTGGACTGATCTCACCTGGGGCATTCATGCAGGTCTAGTCACCTGCACTTAGATGGGGATGGTGACTAGTGGTCACATGTGTGATAGTGCTGGCTGTCGGCTGAGCCACATATTTCCAGGCGGCAAGCCTGGGCTCTTTCACATGGCTGCAGCAGAGGTCCAAGGGAATAGAAGCATTCACTGGATCAAAGCCAAGTTACAAGGACAGTCCATACACAAGTGGTGGGAAAAAGACTCCACTCTGATGGAGGAGCAAAACAGAGCAAAACAGAAAGTAGCCATCTAAAACCGACTATGTGTAGGATGCTTTTTCCTGAAAGCTTTCCATAGCGTCCTTTAGTCATTCTCCTTTAAACGTATCTTTCAAAGGCCTTTCCTAACCACTAATTTAAAGTACTTCTTTACCTTCTGTTGGGGACTGACATTATATTTTACTAGTTTAAGAATTAAATTTAGTGAGTATGACGTGTTCTGCCCAGAGCATTTGAAAGTAATGTGTTCCAGACACGGTCACTTGAAAAAAAAAAATAAAAACATTAATCATCATGGATTTTAAAATTCCAGGGTTCAAGCATACAAGGAGATGGAAAAAAATCAGACAGACCACTAAAGGGTTCAAGAACAGCATACAGCACAGCTGACCCACCTTGGGCTATGAGGTAGACTGCTCAGGTTTCATCCACACCACTACTAGCATGGAAAGCACCCCCATACTTACCATGGCCTCTGCTTCTTCTTTAGGAGCAACTCGCTTTAACTTCACTGGAGTAGTTCCAACAGGGGACAAAGGTGGTGACTTCACGGAGCCCAAAGGACTTTTCCTATGCGTTAAGTCATGGTTCTGTTTAGTGTCATTATTATTGTGTTCCGTTTTATTGTTCATAGGCAAATTGGAAGACAAAATTAGGGGTGAAACACTTGAAGAGGAATTTGATAATTTTCGAAAGGCATTACTGGTAAAGCTTGCCTGAGGGGGAGGCTTGAGTCGATCATTATCTCCATTCTCTGTCTTTTTCACTTTTATGCTTGTACTTGTTGAACTTCCATCAAATACAATGAGGGGTCTTTTCCTTAACCCATCTACAGTGCTACTCCTGAAATCAAAGAGAGGTACTCTTGAAAAAGACCATCTGGAATGGAAAACCAGTTCATTGGAATATAACGTTAAAACAAACAATAACCAAACAGATTTATTGATAAGACTACTTTAAGTAGGACTACTGGAAATGAAATTTTCATGTCTGCTCCAAATGAAAAGAATTTCCTAGTGCTTTAATTCAAAGTTTAAAATATTTATGTAAAAAATGTTTAAAGTTAGCTTTAATATATACACAAAATATAGTTATTTTTAAAACATCAATTAACCATTTAGCCCTACAATTTAAATAGGATTTCCTAGTTAAAAAAAAAAAAATCACCAGCTTATTGATAAGGTTATCTTGCCCACGTAATCAGTTATTATCTAAAAGGATAATAAACTGTAAAATTATACCAAGACTACCACTGTAGCAGTCTACAAATAATAAGGCACAACATTCTATTCCATTCACTAAAGGTCTCTAAAGTCATGGCATTTTATAAACTTTTTGTTAACTATTTGTACAATTTTAATTGTAAAATTTGGTGTCTTCATATTTAGCTTCTGAAAAATCTAATTTCCACTCCTAATGGTAAAGGTAAATAATCAAAGCATTCATTTATTTATCATTGTACCTCAAGTTAAACCAAGATCTGCTTATGAAAAAAACCTATTAAACATGTTAAAACAATTGAAGTAGCCAGTTACTAGGAAGAACACTTTGGCCTTGCCCCTCACAGTGTGATCCAAGGACCAGTAGTAAGAGCAGCAGCAACATTTGGGAACTTGTAAGAAATGCAGAATCTGGGGCCTCAACCTGAACTCCTGAATCAGAACCTGCATTTTAACCAGATCACTAGGCAACTAGCCAAATTTACCAATTCTTGGGTCACCACTGAACATCATTTGGTGGAAGATGAAAAATAAGCTTACTGTATACCCACTGTCATTGCAGAAGGGAAGAGAGACTGAGAACAAGGCTCAACAGCTTGTGTGAGGTCAATCTGAGATACAAGAGGCTCATTAAAATTTGAGAAGCATCTCCCTATGGATCCGGTCCTAGCTGTGTGACCTTGGGCACATTATAGCACTTATCTGTATCTCAGTCCCTCCAAAGATAAAATAATAAGTGATTCAACATTATGAGACAATCTCTTGGATCTTTCCAGTTTTAATGCTCTGATTCAAGAATTAAATCATAAATTTAAAAAATAGAGTCAAAGATCCTTTCAAAGAGGATATTGAAGGACTAATAAGGATGGTCATATGAATTGTGCTTCAAAGGAAAAGTATAACCATCACTGAAAGTTTTGCTTACTAGAACAATGTGCCTGAAAGCGATCAAGAAGAAAATACTGCCTGAATAAGAGCCAAAGAAAAGTAAATTAAAAGGTATATGTGGCATAATCCATAGATTTAGGAAAGTTAACACGAACAAAGTCTGTACCAATATGTAACCATCAAGCTTAAAATGATGCTTAATCTGAATTGAAATGTGTTCTTGACCAAATGAGTTCTTCAAGACTATATGTGTACTTATTTTCGAAAAGACAATGAGCATACATGTATTCTTCAACTAATTCTTCATGCTTGGGGGATAATCTCAATCATGAGTTGTTCTTTATAACTACAGATTAAAACTAAGCAACTAAGGGCTACACATTTCCCTTTACCCCTTTCCTCTTACCCTGTCTTCTCCCAGCGTCTCTAGTGCACTGCCTACAACAGTGCCTTACAAATAGAAGGCCCCCAAAACAAATTAAGTAATTGATCAATAGCACCCACTGTGATATAACAGACATAGAAGAGGTAACTAGGGATTTTAGGCTACTTTGTCCACATTAACTAAACACTGAGCAATCAAATATAATTTTCTTTAAAACAGGAAATTCATTTGCTTTTGGTTTTATAAAAAATTCTCTGAAGTTTAAAAATTTTAAATAGCATGTCTGAAGCTGTTAGGTTGGTGCAAAAGTAATTGCATTTTTAGCATTGTTGGCATTTGCCCTTTATTATTGGAATACGTTCTTAAATATATGTGGTTATGTTTCATTTTAATGCACATTTCTTGCTTTGTTTTTTTGCTAATGACCTATTACTTGCTGTTTATTTTATATTTATTTTAGATCATGGAAATGATGTTAGACAAAAAGCAAATTCAACTGATTTTCTTTTGAGACAGAGTCTCACTCTGTTGCCCGGGCTAGAGTACCATGGCATCAGCCTAGCTCACAGCAACCTCAAACTCCTAGGCTCAAGCAATCCTTCTGCCTCAGCCTCCTGAGTAACTGGGACTACAGGCATGCGCCACCATGCTCGGCTAATTTTTTCTATATATATTTTTAGTTGTCCAATTAATTTCTTTCTATTTTTAGTAGAGATGGGGTCTCACTCTTGCTCAGACTGGTTTTGAACTCCTGACCTTGAGCGATCCTTCCCACCTTGGCCTCCCAGAGTGCTGGGATTATAGGTGTGAGCCACCACGCCCGGCCTGATTTTCTTATTTGAGTTCAAAATGGGTTGTAAAGCAGTGGAGACAACTGGCAACAACAATGCATTTGGCCCTATATTTGCTAACAAATATATGGTGGTGGTGGGGGGTTCGAGAAGTTTTGCAAAGGACATGAGAGTCTTGACGATGAAGATTGCAGTGGTGGGCCAAGGGAAGTTGACAAAAACCAATTGAGAGCAATTATGGAAGCTGATCCTCTTACCTACACAAAACATTGACCATTCTACAGTCATTCGGCATTTGAAGCAAACTGGAAAAAGCTCAATAAGTGGGTGCCTCATGAGCTGACCGAAAATCAAAAGAAAATTCGTTTTGAAGTATCATCTTCTCTTCTTGTATGCAACAACGAACCATTTCTGGATTGGATTGTGATGAGCGACAAAAAGTGGATATTATACGACAACCAGCGATAACCAGCACAGTGGTTGGACCAAGAAGAAGCTCCAAAGGACTTCTCAAAGCCAAACTTGTACCACAAAAAGGTCATGGTCACCCGTTTAGTGGTCTGCTGCCAGTCTGATCCACTACAGCTTTCTGAATCTTGGTGAAACCCTTACAGCTGAGAAGTATGCTCAGCAATCAATGAGATGCACTGAAAGCTGCAATGCCTGCAACCTGCATTGGTCAAGAGAAAGGGCCCAATTCTCCTCCACGACAACTCCCTACTGCACATTGCATACCCAATGCTTTAAAAGCTGAATGAATTGGGCTAAAGAGTTTTGCCTCATCAGCCATATTCACCTGACCTCTTGCCAACCAACAATGACTTCTTTAAGCATCTCGACAACTTTTGGCTGGGAAAACACTGCCACAACAAGCAGGAGGCAAAAAATCCTTTCCAAGAGTTCATCAAATCATGAAGAATGGATTTTTATGCTACAGGAATAAACAAACTTATTTCTCATTGACAAAAATGTGTTGATTGTAATGGTTCTTTTTTTTTTTTTTTTGAGACAGAGTGAGACTCTGTTGCCCGGGCTAGAATGCAGTGCCATCAGCCTAGCTCACAGCAACCTCAAACTCCTGGGCTCAAGCAATCCTTCTGCCTCAGCCTCCCAAGTAGTAGGGACTACAGGCATGCGCCACCATGCCCGGCTAATTTTTTCTTTATATATTAGTTGGCCAATTAATTTCTATTTCGAACTCCTGACCTCGAGCAATCCGCCCGCCTCGGCCTCCTAGAGTGCTAGGATTACAGGCGTGAGCCATTGCGCCCGGCCTACATATATTAATATAAATATAAAACCACCTCACAAATGGCAAATTGTGTTACTGTACCAAAGCTGCCAACATATAAACTCGAAGTATCCAAATGGTTCAATATAGTATAGAGCACAACATGGTAGATTCCCCTAAACTTCTCTATTCCTCCAAAGCTAGGTACATTTCAGGGATTGGGGAGGCAAGTGGTAAATCTTAAAAAGATTCTGGTGTGGTTGTAAGGCAAGCACAGATGGACTTAAGGTCAAGCCCCAAATGCTACTTAATAAATGTGTGACCCTGAACAAATTACTTAACACTCTGAGCCTCACTAATAAAGGAAAACTCTTTTAATTCCAAGATAGTTAAAGGAACTAAATGAGAAAAATCTAGGAAAAGTATGTAATAGACTGTCTCTCTTTACATATTTTAAGCAGAAATAAATTGAGTCCACTTTTTTTTTTTTAAGACAAGGTCTCACCCTGTTGCCTGAGCTAGACTGAAGTGGCATCATGATAGCTCAAACTCCTAGGCTCAAATGATGTTCCTGCCTCAGTCTCCGAGTAACTGGGACTACAGGTGAATGCCACCATACCTAATTTTTTTCCTTTTATCTAGCAGAGATGGGGTCTTGCTATGTTGCTCAGGATAATATCAAACTCCTGGCCTTAAGTGATCCTCCCACCTTGACCTCTCAAAGTGCAAAGATTACAGGTGTGAGTGCACTTTTAAAAACATTAATCGGCCGGGCGCTGTGGCTCACGCCTGTAATCCTAGCTCTTGGGAGGCCGAGGCGGGCGGATTGCTCAAGGTCAGGAGTTCAAAACCAGCCTGAGCAAGAGCGAGACCCCGTCTCTACTATAAATAGAAAGAAATTAATTGGCCAACAGAT